ATAAGGAGGGTGTTCGAGGGTTTCCCAGCCCATTTCGACCTGACCTGTTTTTGATTTCCGTCAACAACCTCAGAACCCATTGGGCACTAATTTTTCTGGAGCCAAGATGATCAGTGATAACGGATTGAACGCTCCCATAGCTGATACCTACTTCTGATGAGATTTCTTCAACAGTTAACTAGCGGTCACGTTCAATAAGCTCTTGAACGACACGGATGTTGTCATCTGTAAGGCTTGTCCTTGGGCGTCGATCAGGAACTTCGTTTTTGACACGTTCTCGCCCACTCTTAAATTTTCTGGTCCATGTATACACACGATTCTGAGACAGTGTACTGTCCCGAAACTGTGCCTTCAATCGACTAAAAATATCCGTGGTTTAACACCCTAATTAGTTAAAAACTTTATGATGATGCGTTGTGTAACAGACGAGTGTACATTTTGCTCGGTCATGGCTGTACTGACGACAGAACCGATCGCGCTCGTTAACCAAGCCAGTTCCCCCACTCCTCACAAACCAAACATCAATTGCACTCTACATCATCTAGCTAGGAACTGCGTGGTAAGCAGAATAGCAAAATTACTGTTTATATTTGATCCACACTTGTATAAAGAGCAAATGAAATCCTTTTTGCCATAAATTCTTGTATCAAAAGTGTTAAATAAAATGTATAAAATATTTTATATATATATTTTTGTTCATTATACTTTTTAAAATTATACTTTTTAAAAATAACTTTAATCTTTTTGCATAACTAATAGTTATTTTGTACGTAGTATCAGTTTAAAATAATAAGAAAACTCAATTCGTTATATATAGTACTATCGTCCTCAAAAATGTGTTTGTGATATCGATATAACGGCATTATGTGTACAGAGTTGTCTAGTGATATTATATTTTCTACAACTAAATTGAATTTTAAAGTAAATATTTTATATTTAAATCATTAATAACTTATCTGTTTATACAGAGAGCAGCGTTATTTGTAAAAAAAAATACTATCTAATGACGTTAAAATCCTATTTAAATATTTATATCTTAAAATATTTTTTAAATGATTTTCAATGATTCTTTCATTTTTAAATATTAATTTGCAAGTATTTATATATAGAATCATTTACTTGGATAAAAATTACAATTTGTAATTAGAAGTTAGTTTTAATTAGGTTCATATAACATAGGTTTTCTTTACATTTCATAATTCAATATCATTAACCTATATAAAAGAGAATAAATAGTTTTAATAGAAAATATAAAAAATCGCCGAACTAAATTAACGAAAATTCTGGCAAATGTAAATGTATGCATATTAAATTTACATTTTCCAGAACTCAAGTCCTTGTATAATATTATATGTGAAAAATATGTTTGATATATTTTAAAATCAAATAATTAAAATTAATTTATTTATTTAACCTACAAGTTTAAAAATTCACAGTTCTTTGATAAACCCGTCTAATGTTGTTTAGAAATTAATTAATTTACCATAATAATGAATTGATATAAATATATACTGTATAACTATATACGCTCAATTATTTCAGACAATTCTGCATTATTTCAATCAGTAAAAGTTGAATTTACTAAATTAATTGAATTTAAAATAGTCATGCTCAATGAGAAAATTTTACTTATATCAATCTATAAAGGATAAAAGATAAAACAAGAGATCGTGTACTGTAATTATACTTAATTGATTTGTATTAAATAAAAAAATTCATTATTATACTAGATTTACAGGAATAGAACATGACAATTCATTAATTAAAAATATAACAATTGGTATTGATAGAAATTTTGAAATGATCTTCTATGTATAAATTGTACATAATTTAGTTTATGAAAGAAGCGAATTTAATGATGAGGTTTATTCGCTAAAATTAGCATATTCAATTATAATTTGATTTAATTGAAAGAAAGTCGAAATGAATATATTCTGTAATGTAATAAAGTAATTTGTTTTGTTTAATCTAACAAAATTTCTTGCGAAACAAAACTCGTAAATGGGGATTTACTTTGTTGATGAAAGTAAGAAATTAGAATTTTATTGGATTATAGGATTTTCTAAATTAAATCTTTAAACGTATGATTACAAATAAATTTAATCAAAATAATTTAAAGTAATTAACTTTTGCAACCAAATGTAAATAATTTTAAGCTGTCTATTAGTATTAGAAAATTTGAGAAAAATAAATGTCTTAATTTTGGATTATTTAAGATATATTTATGATCATCGAAATAATTAGTTTTTCGTTCAATTTTGCTTGCTTTTTTTAAATATAATTTTCTTGGAATATACTCTGAAAATATAACAAATTCTACTCTATTGTATGTTAAAATACAGCGTTATAATTATAAAAATTTTAAATGTTTAAATTCTAATTTTGTGCATTTAGTCATACCTTACAGCACATATATGCGATTCGTTGCAGTGAAAGGCAACTAAATGTGATTAAATTTTAAGTTAATTAAAATTAGAATACTGCAAAATACATAAAGCAATTTATAATTTAAGAAACGGACATTACTTAATTTACTATTGAATTTTTCATAATTTCCATATTTCCATATTCCATAAACCATATTTTGAAGATATAATTGTTATTTTTTAATTCCTTACAAACTACTGGTTTACAGTTTATCAACCTTAAGATAGTCTCATCATTGTTGATTGAATTTTTATTTATTTTTAATATGTTTTTTCATTAGAAACGTTTAATAAAATTCCTTGTAAATGAAATGCCGTGCTAATAATATTAGCATTAAATTTTCACACAATTTAATTGGTGTAATGTATGCTTTTTATAAAATAAAATAATTATTTTGAATAAATATTCTTTTAAAGTGCATGTATTTAATTACTCTCTTACTACAAAACGAAGAAATAAGTTTTTATTAGGAATTTATCAATATAGAAAAATAGCAATTATACTTGTAAATGGTGGCAGATTCTAGTAATATGACTATAAATAATTTCTAAAAATATATTTAATAAAATAAACTGTTTTATTTCAAAATAGTTTAGGTTTATCTTAAACGCAGGTAGGCCTACATATAATCAGTATATATATTTGTAAGTTTTTTTTTATGTCGAATATGATTTTAATAGAATATCATTTATGTGTTTTTTTTCCTTTATCATAAACTTAAAAAATTTTTTAAATATAACAACTTCTAGTGACAATTATAGAACTTCGTTCTTTAACTTCATCAAGTGCATTACATATCACATTTGTCATTTCTGGCTGAAGAAATCGACTATATCCAGAAAAAAGAAAGAAAGAAATATGACAGCCTCGTAGTGCTAATGTTATTGAAGATAAAGATTGAGACGATTAATGGAGTGTATTTCCTAGAAGTACATTAAGATGTTTCCTTTTTAGATATTTTACATTCTTCCCTGAACTGTGATTTAATGTTATTTATAAATCATTTTTCTATTAAAATTTAATTTAAGAATATAGATAAAATCTTAAGTAAATATTGACTTACGAATGTAAAAAAATAATCAATTTTCACTTGTAAATTTTTTGTAATTTATTTATGATAAACTTCGGTAAAATTTTTATATATTAAAAACTCTAGATGAAATTATGATATAAATATATATTATACTTTTATAATTATACAATTTAATATTAACATTAAATTTATTCTATGTTATTTATTCGATAGTGATTTAATTTTTCAAAAGACATTTATGAAAAAAGAATTGCCATAATTTTTTACATAGTTCAATGAGAAATTATATAAATATTAAAAAATTTCTTCATACTAAGGACAGAAAAAGTATAAATATCTTATAAATAATGTCATTATTTGTATTGCATTTATTTGTTATAAATATATATTAAATCATCTTCAATCGATCGATTATAAATAATTTATAATTAATAAATTTGTAAAATATTTTAAAATTTATTTTCTCAAAATTGTATCTTATATTTTATTGTATTATACGATATTTTCTGATAATTTCATGATATGTTTTATCTGTTTAAAAATTAATAAAATTTTTCAGGAAATCAAATTTCCATCTCAAAATTTTGATTAGTAAATTCAAATAATTTTTAAATGTATAAAGTACATAATTTTATGTAGTTTAAGTAATAATTTATGTGCAATTTTTTATTTTTCAGTTTACATTATTTTATATTTTTCTATAGAGCTTTTGTAATTTTTCTTAAATCAACAGACCTCTTCCAATAGACATCTTCCGAAAAATACACTAAAATATTATATTTTTGCATTTATGGATATATATATATATATATAATATAACACTACTTTATTATTGAAATTCAGCATAAATTTTCATAATTTTATCATATAGATTCATTATTTTTCAAAAACTATGTTATGACAAAAAGTTTTGTGGAATTTCTTTTTTCAAAATATCATCAATCAGTTCTTTGAATAAGTAACATTGCTTGAGGAATATAGAAGATATGCAAACATCCATTGCATATAAATAAAATGATATTGACAGTTGTAATAATTTAATTGATTTAGATGAGAAAAAATTAATTTTAATATAAATTTATCTTTTAATCGTTTATTGTTAAAGTTAAAAGTTTATTGATTTGTTCAGTACAAATCTTGTATTAAAAAATGATCTTGAACATATGTTCGTAAATTTATCTCAAACGTACAAGAGGAAAAGATTTTTTATTTGGTTGTATTTCGGTTTAAATTTAAAAATTTTATATATAGAAGTAATAAATAAAACAAATAAGTTTTTATAAACTTATTAACTTAAATATTCTTAAACATTTAAAAGTAAGTTTCATATTAAAATAAAATTTTTGAATTATTAAAAGTTATTAAGAGGATTTATGAATTTACATTATTTTTCTACCATGTAATTTTTATTAGTAAATTTTATTTAATTTTCTCAAATATTTTCAAATAAATATAATACAAGTACAATTTGAGTTTTATATTTTTTTTTTAAATTTAATAACATATACTCTAAAAAACTATAAGAATTCAACCATCAGTTATAATAATCTGAAAGTTCAGAACTAATAGTTAAGTAAACTAAAACTATTCACAAACTGTACTGTACATAGACAAAGTTGATGGTTGTGCTGTAGATTATTGTATATAAGAGTTTGACTTTCATTACGAATTATCTTCATTAAAACAATTTTCGTTTGACTTCTGCAGTCGATATGAATTTTTTCTTTTTTCTTGTTCTGTCTTTGTTAGTGTTTAAAGGAGATAAAATTCTTTGTTCATCGTCGTTAAAAGAACATGGTAATTTGTGCTCTTTTCTATTGTGATGTGTACTGCACGAAGAAAATTGTAAGATTTTTTAATAGAGAAAGTTTTTAATTACTCCCTCTTCACTTTCTTGATGGTTCTTGAACAATAAATAGTTCAGCGAGGTATTTCAGTATATTTTTTGATAACTCTAAAGGCTTTCTTATATCAAACCTCAGCTATCGAGGTACTCTATAAAAGGTTTCAATGGTGGTTGTTCTGGTTCAAATAGAATATGACGTATCCTTAAATCGCAGCTTGAGGTTGATGTCATTGGCAGTGATATATTAGGTTCAGTAAGTGAGGAAGCATCTGAGTTGAGTGACCTCGTTGATGAAGAAAGGCAGTTCTTGGATTTTCTAAAAGGCGATTGGTCATTCTCATCTGAGATCTTTTCCTTTAAAAATAAAATTTTAACCATATATGAATTAATAAATTTGTGTAATAAACTTTCTATAATTATTTTTAAAAGATATTATCATATCACAGAAATTTGCAAGTAATTTAGTAAGTTTTATATAAAAATTAAAAATATTTTATACGAGAAATATAGATTACGACATATTTTTTTTTACTATAATTAAAGTTAATACTTTAATTTGTGTTTATGAAAGAGCAATAGAAGTTTCCTATCTCCTATATTACAAAAACATATTAAGTACATAATATATATATATATACACAGATGCTATTTTAAAAAGTAACATATAATTTTCTTGCAGAAAATCTTATCAATCATTTCTTTTATTACAGAAAATTCATTCAGTATATTTTAACTACAGAACTGTCAGTACAAGACAAGATTTCATTCTGATTTGCTCTGTAGAATTTTTTTATTGTACTTTTTTTTAAACTAGACTTGTTTCTTTTTCATAATCACTATCAAATTTATAGCAACTTATTTGGAATTTAGACGCATATATGACTTGTTTCTTTAATATTCAACAAGATATAAAAATCAAAATAACTTGTAAAATATTTATCATGATTATTATATAATAGACATATCAAAGAATAATTTCTACACTTCTGTAGTTAATTGGAAAGACTTGTGGATGAAAATAACTCACATGTATAAAAATTACATCAAATACAGAGTAAGATTCATCTTATTTTCATATAAATGTCCTAATTTAAATAAGGTTACAAAACATGTAAGTGAAAAAAACTAAATAATTTAAACAGAATATAATATATTATGTTAGCTTTCTCGTTCATTAGTTACGTATTTAGAAGTTTATAATAAATAAATTATTAATTATTTATAAAAACCATTTATTCTTGGCAATAAATTACTGTCATTATTATTTTAATAATACAGTATTTTATATTTTATTTTGAACATATTTGTCAAGAATTCCAAAATTTGTTTTATTTAACATTATGTAAAAAAAATCTATAAAATAGTCAAAATAATTCTTAAAAATTATATATAAATAAAGTAATATATATCATAATATATGTTTATTTTTTCATTAGTTAGGAGACATTGATGCCACAAAAATATTCCTTTTTACTATATATAAAAATGAAAATTTCGATTAAAATATGTTAGTTACTTTTGTAACTAATTGTAAATAAATTTTATATAGCATAATATTGGCAAATTAATGAATTACGATAAAAATATCTTAAAATTTCAACTTGTTTAAATAAAGTTTTCCAAAGCTTATTTAAAGTAATTCTTACATCTTTGAAGGCACTTGCGTCATAATTAATTCTTTTCAAAATATCTGGAAATTCACTACTACTAGTTTTATGAACTAATTCTTCAAATTTTTCCGAAAATGTATCACTTTTATTCTTCCTTCCTGTTGAGAAAAAAAAAAATGAAAAGTCACAAACACTTAATAAGTTTTAAATACTGTATTAGAAATTCATACAGTGAAATTCTCAATAACCTTATTTCACATAAATTTTGAAAATCATCTTTATTTTTACATCTTTAACAGACAACTTTTATACTTGAATTTACAAAATATTTATATGCTGTATAAAAAAGTATGGAAGCTTCGATAGATTTTATCAAATTAAAACAATGAATCTAACAATAATCTATTAATTCAGGCATAATGTTATTAAGGATGAGGGCGTAAAGAAAGAAAAATAAAATAAGTTAAATATGATCACCACTATCATAAAAAAACATAAGAACCGATGGCTTTCTACACTTCTAATTATTATTCGTAAGTGAAGAGAGCCAAAAAAATAATAATATAATAAAATAAAATTGATATTAAAAATTCTTTTTAACTAAAATTTTATAGAAATTTTCTACGAAATATTGTAGAAAATTGTGCTTAACTGTATCGTGTGTGATTTAATTGTGAAAAAAGTTACGACAGGTCAAGACTATCGTATAACATCAAAAAAAATTATTTATAATATAAATTTATACCATAAATATTTTATCGTTAAAAGTGCTGAAAATTATAAAAGAAATTTTTATCTACAAATAAAAGTTTATGTCTGGGAAAATATTAAACCGATTTTTAGATATTATGTTTCATTTTAATAGTAATTAAAATGAGAATACAATAAATTTTGTTTATGTTCCTCAAAGTTAAGTGAAAACAAAATTAAAAGATTACATTATATGAAATAGTGCAAAAAAAGCTTTTGTCATCATATCAAAGGCGTAGTACTTCATAAGCAGCTTATATACTCGTACGATAAAACAAAACAAAGCTTTTGCTTTAATGCACATAAAGATATACTAAACAACGTGAAGTGGATTTATTTTAGAAGAGATCGTCTGCTTTAAAAGCTATTTATAAGAATGTCCAGAATTAACAGAATAGTCCTCATAACAGAAATAGTTAGTTATTTATATTATTTTTATAAAGAAATATATCGTATAATAGCATAATATATATACTATAATTAATTAAAAACTTGGATTTCTGACTACTAAAATTTCTGCCATCAAGTTTATAGTGTCAGCAAAAGTTCTACAATTATCAATTATAAAAAAATAAAGTTGGAAACAAAAGCTATTTTGAAACGTGACTTAAAATCTTTATTTTAGTTTCAATTCTTTAATGCTATATATATAATTTGTACTAAATTAATAATAAAGCTAAATATAGATTTTGGCACGTGTTCAATTTGAAGTTTTGTCCTAAATTCTAAGCCTTATTTTTTTACTAAATATATAAGAAAATTTATTTTTGATATGTAAAAACACATTTATCTATTTATTTATTACCGATAAATTAATAAATAAATAAAAAAAAACAAAGAGTAGCAAATCATTTTTCAAATTTAATAAGTTTTAAAAACTAGTCACTTAATTTTAAAGATTAAAAATAATATTAATAGCTATTTATTATTTACAGTTTTCTAATTTATCAGAAATAAACATTCTTAAATGCTTTATAAATTTATTTTCTATTTAAATGTAGAAAACATCAAACTTAATGAAGAAAATATTCGATTTATTCAAATTTATAAGAGATATAATTGAGGGGAAAAATACTGTATATGTTTTAGCTTATAGATTAAAACGTTTAATATATAGATCGAACTTTGAATAGGAATAAGTGTGAACAAATAATTATACAATTACGCATTTGACACAGGTGAAAAAATGCAAATAGTATGAAATTACTTCATAAGAAATATGAGAAAACTTGTTAATTATTTGTTAATTCTATAAATTTAATTTATTGAATTAAAATATTCTGTGATTTACAAGCTACTCTATATGCTTGTAAATCATAGAAAAAATACAAAAAACGAGCAATTATTTATTGTGACGATGTTTTAATTATTAATTAACGAGCTACAATTTTTAGTCATATTCATAATTTATTTAATTTAAAATATATGTTCTCCATCTCAAATTAGTAGTGTCTTGCCCTGTACATCACATTTTCCTGATAACAACAGAGTCATGCCTGGTCGTCTAAATAACTCTATTCAGGAGAAGTGGCTGTTTTTAAAACCTTAGAACTCTATTCGTATATCTATTTGCAACTCCTTACTGCACCAGCATGTGTCAATGATGTCGATTGGTTCTTGTCAAAAATCGCACAATAATACACCACTCTTGCTTCGTGCACTGCTGGATAGGCGCCGCCATTATATTGGACAGTTATCTCCTGTTTCGTGCATTAACAATGTTGCCTCTGTGATGGAAGTTTTGTGTGTCAAAAATTACTACGCTGTTGCACATCTTCCCGATTTTTAACGACAGTTTTCTGGGTTTTTTTGAACGTGCCTTGTAATTTGAAATCTAGAGATGCTTTCTGAGATAAATAACCTAATTATTACAGATTTCAATAGAATGGTGTTTCTCATTATATAAGTTTGGAAAGACCCTAACCAAATAACAAATTAAATTAGCAACAATTTGTATAAAGTTATTTCAAGTTTATCGTATCCAAATTTCTTTGGTTACACAGTGAAAAACGTAAATAATAAATTTTAAAAAAATAACTAAATCACACACAAAATGCAAAGGAAAAAGTATGACTTCACATCATGTGCACAGGAAATGAGCTCTATTGGAAACATGAACATCGGTACTTGCATATGATATTATACTTAAATAGGATAATGCACAAAATGACCACCGCGCACATCGAGGCATGTCTGCACAAGCCGTAGAATGCTGATTGCAAAGGATCCAGTATTTTATTGTCCACAAAGGTGAACGCAGCATGAAGACGAGCAACCAAATCGCTCAAAAGACAAACTTCTACAGTTCGAACATTTACCAAGTAGAAACGTTAAATAGCTACACAATTACCTTTGTTATTACATTCTTGAATTTATCAAGTGATAATGTAATTTGAACAGTATTTATACTATTAAATTAATCAATTATATATGTTGTTAAATAAATATGAATTTAAACATACAAGGGTTAAATTTATCATAAAATATTTTGAAAATTAGGTTAATAAGTCAATCGTATATCATAAAAATTCTACAGAAATATTTAGTTAACTAATCATTTATAAAATATGTGATAATTATAGTTTATTAATAAATACGATTAGTTGTATTATTGTACAGCGTGTTGTTAAATAGCAGTGTTTATGAAGTCGCTGGAAAAAAGTTATCAAGTATAATCAGAGCTTCATTTGCCGTCTTTCAGAGCTGAACGAATGAATTATAGTTTCTTGTTTTTGTTACTGTTAACACACATAATTGGGTAATTTAAGCCAAAGAAAATTCTTATCGCGTCTATATTCTTTTTACTTTCGAAAAATGTGACAGCATAGGATTTTATATGAACACTATTCTAGAATTATACTTTTTTATGAAAATATAAAACAGTACACACACATACACACATACCAATGCACTTTGCAACACAATGCTACAATCGCCTCTTGCATACTGATGTTTATCTGTTTGTAACACCAAAAGTTTATTAAAAACAGCTTTTATATAATATTAAGAGTTATCTAATATTGATCAGTTAAGAATTAATTATTCTGATAAAAATTTTGTTTTGAACAAGACTGAAGCTTGTAATAAGTTTCTTGAAAATTATGTTTAAACATAAAGGATATAACCATTGTTTTCTTTATTTTATCATCAGCATCTGATAAATTATTAATAAATATTCAAATCAAAACATAAATTCTATTACTGTAAAACTAAAAGTAATAAATAAATAAATAAGTTTGCATTTGAAGAATGAAATTCCTTGAAATGACAAAGTAGTTCTAACTCCAATTACTTTTTCTTTTAAGACTAGTTTTTAAATTTTATTATCTACAATTTTAATGTAAATAAAAATAATCTCCTAAGATATATGACGATTCATAAGAAAAATGCATGTATCATATCTGATATTATGTTAATATAATGAAGAATTATAAAAGGTGTTTTCGAATAGTGTCTAATTCTTTTCCATCAAACAGTATGGTCCCGAGAGTTTTTGATTACTAATGATGTTTGATCTTTACAAACATTACTACAATCTTTCATTTGCAAAACAATATTTTATAATTAATGTCTTTAAATCTTTTCATCTTTATCAACTATCTATATAATAATTTATTTATAGTATAAAATAGCTTCTATTGAGAATCATATTCAATTCTATTTAAAAGTTGTATGCACAAGTATAATTGATTTTCGGATAAAATTGCTGTTATTCATTATTCATAGACAAAATTTTATGATGTTGGAGAGAAGCATCATATGTGTATATATTTCTGGAATAAATTTTAAGTTCCGTCTATAATTAGATAGAATTATTTACTTTCAGAATGTTTACAACTTTTTCTATAAAGTTGAAGTATGTGTCTCTTCGCAATCATGTCTCTCTACTCAAGTGTTATCATTTCAAACTTTCATCGTAAAAAAGTATCTAGTTTGTGGACATTTGAATGTATAGCATAATTATCTGTACAATATTTTTTAAATATTTACAACTTTAATATATGAAGAATATTCTATAATTTATTTACTTTTAATAACTGCAAATTTATAAGAAGAAGTAGACCTTATTTTCTTGCTTATACAAACAAGGAATATGTGAAATATTTTTTAAAAATAAGCGTAAATTAAACTTCAAAGTCTTATTTTTACATGAAAAAGATTATTTCATAAGAAATGAAATCTATTTTCACTTTTAATTTTTGTATTGCTAACTTAATACGAATTTATAAAAAATGAATAAAAAAATTCTTTTGCATTGAAAACACTCAAGAAACTTGTATCTAAAACATAGTTCTTTGTTAATAATATTTCAATACAAATTTCTATAAATTAATGTTCAAATGTTATAATTCCATATTTACTCTGTAAATAAACATATACAAATTAAATTTTTATCTACTATATAAAATACATGCAGATTAAATAGTGAATTTTTAATCTTTAAAACTAAAACTTTTTTTGTTAAAGATTATTTAATATTTAACATATTTTAACATTAATTTATTAATTTAATTTCCTTATATATTTAAAATATTGTGATTAATTTAAATACGCTATTATGGAACTTTTACGTGTCAATATAATTTAAAAAAAAGTCTGCATGAAATTGCATATAATATAAAATTTTATAATCCAAAATATTAGCAACCAACGATTCGATTCATAGAAGTTTTTATTACTAATTATAATTAAGTTTTACTTAAGATTATTTAAACTTTTTCCATTACCGTTGAAAACATTTTTATCCTGATTACTCGAGTTAATTTTTTAAAATTTCTTTTATGTAAATCAGGTGTAGCGACATTAAAATCTGCATAAACATTCAGATTTCTTTAAAATTCAAATTAAGAAATTTGTATTGGATTAAATCAACTGACATAATTTAACAGATTGTGTGATTTAGCTTAAAAAAGATGTACTTGTTTACTATTTAAGTATACAAAGAATTAAATTATTTATTACTTATAGTAGATTTTAAATTATAAACTTGAATCTATTACAATTAAAGAATAATTTATTCAAAAACTTTAACGTAACTATAAAATTTACTAGAATTTAAAGAAAAAAATTTTAACAGTCGGCTCTACATTAGTTTTTATCTAACACAATTTTTAATTATTAAAATGAAGCATAAAATAATTACGCTTGAAGAATAATTAATAAAAAATTTTACCTAAAAAACCATACTTTATACAATTAATTTAGAAATATCATTTGTTATTATAGTTTAATTAAAATTGCATTTTCTAAAAATAACTATTATCATTAATTTTCGTTTTTGTTTTAATTAATTTTAAAAAATGAAAAATAAATAATATAAAACTCAAGTTAATAATAATAATTTATATAAAATATAATAATAGTAATTATTCACATTAATTAATAATAAACTAAATATGATCTATAATAATAGAAATGCTATAGCATTTATTTAAGAAGTTTTTGAAATAATTTTATCATTATTAAAAATTATTTTACGTATTTTAGTTTTTCTATGTATTAAATTATGAACTACTTGAAAATTTTTAAAATAAATTTCTATCATTTTTCACATATTTATAAAATTTACTAGAATTTAAATTGAAGATAGAAGTTTATAACATTTTATGTATGCGTACTGTATATAATATCATTTATGACCATTTTGTAACTAATTTTTTTTAATTTTAAAAAGACTTTTTTTATAATTTAATAAATTGGAATTTTTTTTATATTCTAAAAGTGTAATCTAGAAATTAAAAATAAAATATTTTTTAAATTTTAAATTGTTTATTTTCATTTAATGTTTACTAGTACCTACAAGTATTGGATAAACTAAGGTATTATCACGCCCAAAAGTGTAACTTTAATTTGGTGGCTGAATTCAAGCAACTTTTTATTGCCTCGTAATTCTCCTAAAGTAGATATCTGAGATCGTGAAATCCCAATGCATCGTTTTCTTGCTATGAAAATTTCCTCTTGATTTCTTTACAGTTCCAATTTAAGATATTGCAAATTTAAAATCTGAACTTAAATACGAATACAATAAATTTGATCGATCCTTATATGCACTTGGCACCAACTCTTATCTCATCCTATAGAAATTGGGTAAGATAAGAATTACCGCGTTAAGTACTTAAATCTGCGTACCCAAGTTAATTAATTTGACTACTTTAATTTATACTACACAGAGTACTAAACTTTCATTGTGCATTGTGCAAAGTACATTCAACCTATTTTAAAATGTAATAATTTTAATCACTTTTGTAATAAATATTTTTTTAAAAAAACGATTAAATTTACTGCTAATAATGTATTAATTAGTTTTCTATGCCATAAATTTATTAAGAAACCTCTATATATTTATTATAAAATAAATTTATTTCTAATATTAATAGATTCTTGCATTACGAAAAAAATTAATTAATTTATACAAACATATTTTCTTAGAGTTAAATATACCATATTCATTAAGATTTATTCATAAATTATAAATACACTTCATATGTTGTTATTACGTTGTTTAGAAGTTTTAATCCCAGAAGTAATTCAAGTAATTAGGAATGTCACGCCTAAGAAAATGGATTAAGTTATAATTGATATAATACGTAGTTAATTACTCCAATTCTATCTGATTTCTATAAAGATTTATAAACAGAATAATGTAGCAATATAATATGTCAACTGCTAATGAATTGTTTAAAATTTGACACATTAAAAGGAGGGGGATTATAATGAAACATTCTAATACCGATTTAATTATTGTAATTATAATTATATTTTCACTTTATTTAAGTAAGTTATCGACAAATAAATAATTAAATTATAAATATTGCTATTAAGTTAATAGTAATTATTTTTATTAAAATATGCAAAGAAACAAAAAAAAAAAAAACGAAAATCGATTTTATTAAATACTTACTCAAATTACTTGGCTGTAAATTTAATCTTTTCCCTACGATATCAACCGTCAAATATGTTTTCTGATCTTTATTCTATAACGAAATTAATTAAAATATATTTAAAATTACTTTATTCTGAATCAAAAAGAACATCCATTAATAGTTAGTCTTATTATTATTATTTTGTAATATTTTTAAAATATAACTTTTTAATATATAAAGAAAGATTATGTTGGATTAATTATATTTTTCTCTGTTATAAAAACTTTTTGCATAGAATTTTCTACCGTAGGAAATAGTTATAGCAAATATATAATAATGATTAGCTATAAGGCCTGAACGACCTAGCTTCAGATTTCCTCTCTAGGAGCCAAGATTGTGTCTTGGTTATGAATGCCTGCACTAACTGAGGATGAGACGTCTACCCCGTTGGATTCTGCGCTATGTGAGGCCTGCTGAACACAGTTAAAGAGAATGCAATTACCTCCGCGTATCGTAAGATGACAGAGTTCTGGATATATTTTACCCCATTACAATGGGTCTTACAGGCCTCAGTGCTATGTGAATTCTCTCACACAATCTATATAAGAGCTGAAAAAATCGAATACTAAATTTTTATTTTTCTATTGTTTTTCTTTTTACTAAATTAAGTGTAAAAGGAAGTGTGGATTGAAAAAGAAATTTGAAATACATAAATTACAATTTTTAAATTTAATAAATTTTAGAAATTAAGCTTTTAGTTTAAATATTATTATTTATTAATATAAAATTAATAATATATTCAATATTTGTGTTTATGTATAATTAATAAATTATTTCTGAAACTTTGGAAAGAAATTTTTAGTATATTTA